GTCAGGCATGGAGATCTTAGGAGCTTTGATGTTCATCTCAGGCATCTTAAATTTAGGACCCTTCAGCTTTCCCTCTGGTCCCTCAATGTTCACATCAGGTCCCTCAATGTCCACCTTGGGTCCTGAGATGTCAATGTCAGCCTTGGGCAGGTTCACATCCACTTCTGGGCCTTCTCCCTTGAAGCCAGGCATGCTGAACTTGGGCATTTTCACTTTGGGCATCTTCAGGTTCCAGTCTGGACCATGGACATCCACATCTGGCACATCAATGTCCACTTTAGGGCCTTTCAAATCAACTTCAGGGCCTTTTAGATCTCCTTCAATTTTGGGAAGTGAAACATCCACATCACCCTTCATCTTGGGACCCTTCAGGTTTAAATCAAAGTCTGGCATTGACATTTTGGGGGCCTTTAGATGCATTTCTGGCATCTTAAATTTGGGCCCCTTTAACTTTCCTTCTGGGCCTTCAATGTTAACATCAGGAGTGTCTATGTCCAGTTTGGGGCCCTTGATATCTATTTCAGGGCCTTTTAAATCACCTTCCACTTTTGGCAAAGACACATCCACATCACCCTTCAGTTTCGGTCCCTTCAGGTTTAAATCAATGTCAGGGATGGAGATCTTTGGAGCTTTGATGTTCATCTCAGGCATCTTGAACTTGGGCCCCTTCAGTTTTGCATCTGGACCTTCAATATTCACATCTGGAACATCAAGGTCTACTTTGGGACCAGAAATATCAATGTCAGCTTTAGGGAGAGACAGATCCACTTCTGGGCCTTCACCTCTGAAGCCAGGCATGCTGAACTTGGGCATTTTCACCTTGGGCATCTTCAGGTGCCAGTCTGGGCCATGGACATCCACATCTGGGACATCAATGTCCACTTTGGAGCCTTTGATATCAACTTCAGGCCCTTTCAGATTCCCTTCCACTTTTGGCAGGGACACATCCACATCACCCTTCACCTTGGGGCCCTTAAGGTTTAAGTCAATGTCAGGCATGGAGATCTTGGGAGCTTTGATGTTCATCTCAGGCATCTTGAACTTGGGACCTTTCACGTTTCCCTCCAGACCTTCTACATTAATATCTGGGCCCTCAATGTTCATACTTGGACCCTCTATGTTGATATCTCCTTTTGGAAGATCCACTGCCATATCTGGCCCTTCTGCTTTTACGCCAGGCACACTGAACTTCGGCATTTTCATCTTAGGCATTTTCAAATTCCAGTCTGGACCATGAACATCGACATCAGGTGCATCAAGATGGACTTCTGGTGCCTTAATATCGACCTTGGGATCTTTAATGTCACCTTCTAAATTAGGCCCTGCAACGTCTAAGTCACCTTTGACTTTGGGACCTTTCAGGTTTAATTCCACATCAGGCATAGAAACTTTTGGAGATGAAATACTCAGGAAAGGCATTTTGAACTTGGATCCTTTTGCTTTTCCATGTACCTCAGCATCAGGAGCATTTATATCAACTTTTGGACCTGTTACATCAATATCTGGCTTTTTAACTTTGACGTCTACTTCAGGTGTCTGCACTTTGGATCCCGAAAAATTAAATTTGGGAAGCTTAAAACGAGACTTCTTTGCTTTTCCTTCAATGTTGACCTTCGGACCAGAAATGTCCACTTCTGGAGCTTTTACGTCTAATTTAGGAGCTTTAATGTCACCTTCTAATTTGGGCCCAGAGACATCAACATCTCCCTTCAGCTTAGAACCTTTCAAATTGAGGTCAATTTCAGGCATGGAAATCTTGGGCATGTTCACATGCATGTCTGGCATCTTCAGTTTTGGACCTTTTAATTTGCCTTCTGGGCCATGAACATCAATATCTGGAACATCTACCTCTATCTTTGGGCCCTTTATGTCAAGAGCAGGTCCTTTCAAATCACCTTCAACTTTTGGAAGTGAAACATCCACTTCTCCTTTCACTGTAGGGCCTTTAAGATTAAGGTCCAAATCTGGCATTGATATTTTAGGAGCCTTGATGTTCATCTCAGGCATCTTGAACTTGGAGCCCTTCAGTTTTGCATCTGGACCTTCAATATTCACATCTGGAACATCAATGTCCACTTTGGGTGCTGAGACATCAATGTCAGCCTTGGGCAGGTTCACGTCCACTTCTGGGCCCTCTCCTTTGAAGCCAGGCATGCTGAACTTGGGCATTTTCATCTTGGGCATCTTCAGGTGCCAGTCTGGACCATGAACATCCATGTCTGGGGCACTGATGTCCACTTTGGGTCCTTTTATGTCCACATCAGGAACACTGATGTCACCTTCCATTTTTGGCAAAGACATGTCTACATCTCCCTTCAATTTTGGGCCCTTCAGAT